TATCACTTAACATCAGGTGTGCCTCCTGCCCATTTGCATACATAAAAAAACCATCATAATTGAGAATGAACATAAGTAAGTTTTAAGAAACTCATAAGTAAGTCAAGTAACAGTTTTTTGTTAGTCCAGCGACGCAACTCTTCTACCCTTATGTTATAAGCCCATGTTTTAAACGATTAAAGACACAATCGCAGCAAAGAAGTCTAAATCAGATTAGGGTAAAAAACCGCCTGCACCGGGGAAGGCATGGGACCATTACTTCGTACTACGCTCACTCCAGTGAGCTTCCGTCCTGCCCTTCAGGGGATTGACTACCCCGCGACGGCCCAAGCCGAGGTCCGAGTCTCGCAGGGGACGCCCTTGCGCTAGTCCATTCCAATTAGTCCAGATTCCATTCAAAAAAAAAAAGAGTAAAGACAGTTGACACTTGGTTTCGACCATGGTATTTCATTTATTTGAATATCCTTCCAACCGCCACCGAACTTAACTCGCGTTTGAAACAATACAATATTCACTGTAACTTACAAAGTAATTTTGACTTGCTCTATTACTGAGTGCACTTAAAAACTGTGACGTCACGTTCAGACTTCAAAAGGTGAAATAGGCCTCCATTTCCTCTAATAAAATGCTAAAAACCCTCGGACTACAACGGCTTTGTAACGGAAAACAGAATATTCATGATCGCTTACGCTTTTAAGATAGCGCATGGTGCAAAAATTTCAGTTCACAAAAATGTCATCGGCACCTTAAGATAATTGGTTCATTTACAAGAATTTTTTACCGTCAATTGGACTTTGGACAAATCTATGTCTAAAAAAGTCGTGTTAGTTACATTATTTATAACTCAAGCAGGTTGAACCGATTTGGCTGAACATTGGTGGGGAGGTAGCTTAGAACCAGGAGACAGATAAAACGTGGTATAACAAAACGCAGCAGAATAACGAAAAATATATCAGTCAAAACATCAGTCTACGGTTGAGTTAAAAATGATTGAAAAATTGACAATGAAATGTGATCTTTGAAGTTGATTGATTTGATTTATTTGAACGAGTTTCACCGTTCGAGCGAATGCTAAACGCGCACATATAGAAAACACAAGCCCGGGATCGAACCTACGATCTTAGAAATGAGAGTTGCACGCTGAAGCCATTCGGCCAACACCGCTCTAGGTAAGGTAAGGTAATAGTTTTCTAATTATTTCACTCATGCTGACGTTATCTTTAATAGAGAACAAGAAACTGAAAGCCTATGGACACAGGGCGTCCATATTTAGATAAGCTTTTTTCTATACGCATATATTGTCGTAATGGTTTAGTAAAACCGTAATAAAACGTTAGTTTGGAATTTCTCAATGAATTGTACAATTATTGTGCACGCTTTTAAACGCTTTCAAATTTATCATTTAACAAAATTACGAAAAACAATTTAAACGCCGTAGTAATAACGCGGAATCAATTAAAAACTTATTGCTCTACCGCAAATTAAAAACGGGTTTTGCAATAATGTAGAGCGTTTTTTGTTTCAGGAAGATAAGCGACAACAAAAACAAGATTTTCAAATAAACGCTTAATCTTAATTTGACGACTCCCCTAAGTTCAATATAAATTAACAACATTTGACATAAGGGGCATACTTTGCGCTAAGCTGTGACTCAGAGGACCACAAACAAGACTAGACCGTCATAAATTTATTGGATTTTGACACAAGGGCGTCAAAATGGGGCTCCTTTCTAAATCTTACCATTAGAGTAACTTCTATAGAACTAGGTGTTACCATAGATTGAACAAGAACAATATTTTAATTCACATATGAATTGGGACTTTTCAAAGAGTTCATTTTATTTAGCAATTCATAACATACAGCATTACTAATGATGAATTGAAAGGATTAAAAGGGTTTTATTGTTTCTGCTTACTGAGAGATACAAAAGCAGCTTAAAGGGAATTAGACTAATTCTATAATTCCTTAACACAATATATAATTTATACTAACTACTACTTAACATTATTTAAGAGATCAATTTAATTCCATTAAAACATTTTAATCACTCTGATGTTATTTCCCAATAATTAAGAAGCTATATTTAAGGATGTCACCAAAAACAAATTAAGAAGTGGTTAGTACAGTGTGTGTCTCTCTAGCCCTCTATAATTTGCTAAATACAGTCAATAGATTTTAAGAAATCTAAATAAATTGTTTTACAGTGTTAAACAAAAGCAAAAAATTAACTTAAAAATTTAAAAATAAAACTTACAAAACAGTACAATCTTCCTATTGCCATTTTTCACCAGATTCTGTAGATAAAAATAAAATATATATATAAAGTAATTAAAACATAGATAATATGAATTATATGATAGAAAAAACTATGAAAGTAATACAAATAAATTGGACATGCCCTCAAATATCTGACTGTACCTAAATATAACTGACAAATATAGTTAAAACCGTAAACATACCTTAGCACTTTTCTTATACAGGGCCTGCAAAGTGAAAATTATTTTAATGGAATTTATTTATTATCTGAACACTTTACAAAGCCTTTATACTTTTTAGACATTAGTACACTGGTACTAATGTCATGGATTATTTTGTATGCTAAAAGGATTCTGCAAACTTGGTGGCAGTTGGCACAAATGTTTTCGTTTGGTGGGTGAAGTTGGCTTTCAATGATAAATAATTAATAAAATATTAATGTAAAAAATCTGTAGTCGTCAGTACACAAAATTTAAAACTTGTTTATTTCTTCTATTACGAAACATATTGAGTAGTTATCATGATAACTAAAAAAACTTCTGAGATAATTTAAAGAACTTAAAATTTTGTTTAACCATTTTTTCGTTTCGTGTGTGAACTATAAGCTTGTGCTATTTTCATCACTGTTTGCTATCAAAAGCTCTCAGGTATCATGAAATTTAAAAGTCTCAGGTCAATGCACTGAAACCTGAAAAAAACAAACATTGGACAAATCGATCAGCTAATTACTCACCTATTCTACGCCAAGCACTTCACTTGAAATTTTTGTTCTTTTCATTACAGGACAGAAAACAATTCATTGAATTTCAATTAATTTAAAAAAAATTGCGGACTTATCAATATTATGATTGTTATTGAATTCAACAAGCCGGGCGGCGGGCCCAATATCAAAACAGTTTTTTTCCACTGACAGATGATGACAATTGACAGCCCTCGCTTATACAAAGTTATGGCACTTGTCTATCTGTAATAGCGATTCTTTGGTAGTTGTCATTTCAGACATCGTTACTGAAACATTCAAGTACAATTTTAATTCTATAGTAGTTTTTATCGCAAGTGCACAACCACTTTAAAATTATATTTTATATAGGATATAAATAAAAATCACACGTGTGAGAAACATTTTATTTGCAGTTGTAAAAACTGTACAAATCCTAACAAACTTACATATTATCATCTATTATGGACCTTCTCATGGCACTGCTGACGACAAAAGCCAAGAACTCAATCTAATATTTTCATGACCATTTGTGTTGAACTCCAAATAAAACAAACAGATCAGAATCAAGCTTGGCCTTTGACCTCACATTTGCTTTGCATTGAAAACATTTTTACTTGAACTGACGTAAATTATTGGAAATTTCATAAAACCTGATTGTCTTATTCTATAATTTCATCTTGAAATTGGAGTGATTCTATTATCTATACTCAAAAGCACCGTTTTTGACACGAATATTGAAGAAAAGTTAAAAATAAGGGACATGCTAATAATAATTAATTTAATGGGTAATGATAAAATGCTATGTTAAAAATTCTCTATACCATGGATGATGTGTGAAACAGGTATTGCCAGTAAACAAAATGTGTATCATAAAACCACCCCTAAAACACATCCCATCCACAAACAATGTTAAATAAAGCATACCATTTTATAATTAGTAATCAGTTCACGAATATGGTTAAAACAAAAACAGGAAATAAAATATGTCTACTTACAAAGCAAGTTTACATTATTGAATAATTAATAAAAAATATAATTAACAATAACATAGGGTCAACAATATATTGTATTTTAATTGATTTTATATACATATATCTAAATCTAAGTTGTGTCTATAAACAAACATACAAGTGAACCTAAAAATAATTAAAAAGAATTCTTTTTGCAGCGTCGATTATTTGGAAATATTTTTTTGTATAGCAACATTGTAATTGAAACGTCAAAACGCTCAAAGAACATTACTTTAACTTTATTCGAGTTTTTTGTTCTGTATATTTATAGCTATAGAATAATTAATGTTATTCAAAAATATATCAAATTTTTTGTATTCCTACAAAATTTATATACTTTGACGACGAAGGTTTTCACAAATTTTTGGGCTGTAAGAAGAATTATAAATAATAAAATGCGTTCAGACATTTGTTTAGTGAAATGCAGTGATTTTTAAGAAGTATGAAGCGAAGAAAGTGAACAATAAATAATTCATGTACATTCTTAATAATTATTTTATACAATTAATAAATAATATTATCAATGAATAAGGTCACTTTTTCAACTGAGCAATTTGTTCAGACATTGTCCGTTCCTTAATCCAAATGTATCAAAAGTGAAAGATATGTCGGAAGTTGTAAATTTTAAGTGTTAAAAATTATATTTGGTTAAAAATACGAATAACAAATGATTTTATATTCCAGTTAGTAAAAGGTTTACAAAATCGATTACACTCTGCATACGTCACTTCATAATAAATAATTCGTTGTAATACAACACCGATAAATATAATCTAATAATTCTCAAAGACTACTCGCTACATCTCGAAGACAACGAAATCGGGAATCAACTCGGGAAGTACTCGAGTATTTCGATAATAAACAGTTTAGTAAATAATAAACTATATTTTTGGACCTGTGATCGACAGCATACAGGAAGGATGATTTAATTTGGGAATTTTGCAAACTTTAGATTGACGAAATACTCCATAGACAAAGGTTTATGCGAGAAATGGCGACAGGCGACTGGGGGCTCAAATGGGCCGAGTGAAGTTAGCCGGGAACATGCCTTTCTCATTCGTTGTCTCTTTTATTCCCATCAACCAGCCCTCTTCCTGCGAAAGGGAGACTCAATATTTCAATACGAACAAACTTAACAAGTAAAAAGTAGCAATATATGTTTTAACCTAAAATAAAAATCAATTTCATTCATAAGCAAACAATCATTTGTTCATAAGTAAATTTGTTTTATAGAACAGGGGGCCAACGGGCAAGAGGCTCAGCTGATGTTAAGTAAAACCGCCGCCCATGGACACTCGCATTTCCAGAAGGCTCGCAAGTGCGTTGCCGGCCTTTAAATTGCTTACAACTAAAATATCAACTATTTTAATAATATGCCTTAGCTTTAAGTCAGACCAACAAGAAATTGCTACTTCTGTACCGAACAATATTTTTTAATCATTTCAGCTAAAGTATATTATTAATTTTGTTTTGTTATACGAGTTCCTCACCTGTTCTTCCGGATCGTCGTACTCAACGACGCGAATGGTGTCCCCAACTTCGAAGGAGAGCTCGTCGCTATCTTCACGCGTGTAGCGGTACGTCGCACGTACGCGGTACAACGTGCCCGCTGGCAGACCCGCTAGTGTTGCCCCTGGGAATTTTTTTATATAGTATCAACGCAATCCTCATACCTTGAAGAAATTGGTAGGATAAAAACGTCTAGGAGTTTGGTTACATTTTGCGCCATTAGAGTACGTACGTACAAGTGCACGTAATCAGTCAATGCGTCAAGCCGAAAAGGTCACTCAAAATAAATATGTATTACCAACAAAACAGACGATTTTTACTTTTTAATTTTTGTAGAATTTAAGTTTACCATAATTGAATTGATTGTTTAGAAAATATAGCTTGTAACATATACTATAGATATATCATTGTATGATCTATAAACTTATGTAAATAAATTTAATTAAAAAAAAATCTGAAATTTGTGCCCTTGTCTACACAATACTACAACGGTAGATGTATAATTTACTATTGAATTTGTCGTATTTGATATGATCAGGCCAAATAAAGACTTTTATGAATTATGAGTCTCAACATCTCTGATGCACTGAGACAAGCTGAGGATAGATTGGTGTGGAGGCAGCAGGTCGACGTATCGGTTAGGGCTTTTCAAGACAACGAAGAATAAAATTAGGACCGAGGCTGTACAGTTTGCTTCCTAAATCATCGGAATTACGCCCAGTGGGTATAGCCCAACATAGGTACTCTCTTCAACTGTTAAATTGCATTCATTCGTTACATAGCAATGAACATTACACTATTTTGCTTATATTCTAATGTTATACGAGAGTGTTTAATATAGAGTAAAAATAAAATCCTCTATTATTTAAAGCACCCCAATGACCCACGAACCGTACAATACGTTAACTGAATATAGGTTAACATCTTAAAAATAGAATAATCACTTTAGGCGATAAACATCTTAATCGATTTAATATGTTAGTACATTGTGTTAATACAAGCAAAGCGTTATCTATAAAAAGCAGACATACATACAAAATAAATATTTACAAAGATTTATGCCCCGCCTGAAAACAAATTTAAATAAATATGTTCGTTAGTAGATAATATAAATAACTCTTAACCATCAAAAGTAAAGTGATAAATTTCGTATTAAAAATATTGCAAATTATATATAAGAACCTTATTCCTTAGTAAATAAGGTGCATTTTACCACAAGAGATATTGAAGCTTTTAGTTCCCCCACCTTGTCAGTAAATATATATATCCAACATATACAGTATACACGATTCACAAAACTCACCAACGGGTATGTCATACACATCGTCACTCTTCACACGATTGTCTGTCTCTTTCCCGTCTACCGTCTCTTTTCCATCTACCGGTTCTTTCTCCTCTTTCTTCTTCTCTTCCACGTTATTATTCACCGCCTCAGTGGCCGGTGAACCTGAGAGAATTGTGTTCCTAGATACTACAACTACGCTACATTACGCTTCCACGAAAATCCATAAACTTGAATTTCTATAAAGTATCGTCTCACTGTTATTTACCTTAATTTATAATTTCTCGTGGAATAGATTATATAGCTTGGCAATAAAGCTTATAATGGATATCAAGACTAAACATTGGATAAGGTATTTAGGACTTATTTACATTGTCTTTAAATTTGCAAATAAAAGAAAGTGCAATTGGGAATTGTGTAAAACCTAAACACGCTACTAACATATTAAACACTGCATTACATTTGAAAATACGCGCGAGTTACTATGGCAACCGTTCACAAAGAATAGACAATCATGACAGTTCCACAGATATTCCAAATTTAAATTAAAGTCAGAACATCACTTATTACCTGTATCACCTAAGACGGAATTATCGTTACTTACCGACTGGAATGTCGTATAATTCCTCGACTTTTTTGTCGTCTTTCGTGTCATTATCCGCGTGTCCGTTGACTGTGGAAGGCAGAAGAGGCGATCCTTGGGGCGATTCCTTCTCTCGGGGCGTTACGGGCGAAGCGCGGGGCGTTTCTGGCGAATCCTTTTCCGGCGTCGACGGGGTATCGGCCCGAGGCGAAGGGGGGGAAGGCGCTACACACACTGACACGTACACACACATGCCCAAACATAATGTAAATGGTAACAGTTCACAAATTCAAAATGTCCAACCATATAAAATATATTTTACTTTCTCTTATTTTATGAACATAAAAACAATATTTGGTTTACAATAGAGGTTGGAAGAAGAATTAAATAAATGTTGCCACTTACAATATTGTTACTTTGTGTAAGAACTCATTTAAAATGTAAATTTTCATTAAAATTACTAAATAAGTTTCAACACAAATAACACAGCGCAGTTTAGTTGTCAGTTAAACATGGGCACGTGTCGCACAAATCATTCTCAATTTATACTCATTGTATTATTGTTGTCGTGATACAAAAACACAAACAAAATGTTAATTTAGAAAATGGTTGTAATTACTTGAACAAAATATTTTTAAAATAATCGAAAATAAGCAGGTATTTCAAACCCTTGTACGTTCTTTAATGGAGTAAAAATGCATTTAAAAGTTTTTTTTATAGTTGAGCGACTACACTGATAGCACAATTAAGTGAAGATGAGCTGAAGACCACAGATTATAAAGAGATATCACACTTCGAAATATTTTTATAATTATTAAAACAATGGTTCTTTTTCTCTTTGTGATTGTGTCGTGACTTTGGTTCTTGTAAAACTTTATGATGCGGAAGGGGGGTTTGAACGGGGCGTTACGTATTATTGCTTTTATTACGCCACATAATTCGATTATGTGGTCGATTTACTGGCGGGGGGGGAGTACAGAAAACGTTACAGCGCGTTACATAGGGCGAGGAAGTTAACCTCCAAAATTGCGTTACGTAATACTTGAACACTCCTCTTGAAGTGCTTGACACCAATGTATGAGTGTGCCCAGCGTTGGCAAGCTTTTGTAAATAATTAAAAAAAAAACAACTATAAGATTCAAGAGATAAAATCGAGGCTTAGCGGTCAGTACGGCTCTCATCATCATAATACTGAATTAGCCTTAGTGTACGTCATTATAGCTTTTACGAAATTACTAATTTAAAGCATTTATGTATGAACAAGTTATCACAACCATAATAATTAGAGTTTTCCACACGAGTATTGACGTTCTTGTATTTTATATTAATTAAAAGTTATTTATGATTTTATAAAATATAAATTAAACCTTTCCTAAAATTCAATTCGTCAAATACGAGACATCAAATAGCAATTCCACATTTGAACGCAAATACAAAAGAGTGAAGTTAGCAAGGACTCACTTTGCACATTGGTGGGTGAAGGAGGGTTCCCGTTGTGGGAAGTGAGCGTGGCTGACTTCACGTTGTTGGATTTCTTGTATGAACCGCGTTGGGAGTCCGTCGCCAACTTGTCCGTTATTGCCTCAAGTTCTAAGAACACCTGGAGTCAACAAACAAAAAAATAATGCAACTGGAAGACGATATGTCAAGTGAACCATGGTGTCAATGGTTGCTGTTCCATACGATTTCCTTCTAAACAAAAAACTTGGCGATTAAAAGTTTGTTGCCAGTTTCGCTTGATTTTGAATTAGTTAATGTAAATTTAAAGCAGTGATGGCCTAGTGGCTTCAGCGTGCTACTCTCATACCTGAGGTAGTACGTTCGATCTCCGGCTGTGTACCAATGGACTTTCTTTCTATGTGCGCATTTAAAATTTGCTCGAACGCTGAAGGAAAACATCGTGAGGAAACCGACATGTCTTAGACCCAAAAAAAATGTGACTGCCACTGATTTTTTTTATATATATTTTATTTTAATGTAAATTTAGACTTATTTATATATCGACGTTCACTGTACATTGTTACCTATATACCAGTGTACACACACTTATTCATGTAAAAAAAAATTGATATGAAATTTACTATTAGTTAGTTAAGCCTGGGCACAGGTATATTTTACTTTTTTTAAATTAATTTTTTTATTTTACAGAATAATATAGTAAAATCATAATATTTTACATTATAAATGTAACCATAGCAGTCTTGTTTATGAGCGCGACAAATTCATATAAAAGTAGTAAAATTAAAAGGGTTCCCAAATCTTACACCTTATAACTAATTGTTTATAATGAATAAATAATGTTTTTTTTATATTAAGAACGAATTAAGTGATTTGCTATTTTGATGTAGTTCTCTTTCTTAGGATCACGCTGTACAACAATTGAAGTCGTGATTGCAATTATTATCGCTATTAGAAGTTACAGAGTGTTTTTTCATTTGATCAAACCAACTATACTTTAGCTCAGACCAAAACGTTTCTTGAGAAATTTTGTATATTGTACCAATATCAGACATAATAGATATTGGAAAAAATATAACCTTGGAACTTTCCGAATGGAACAATTGTTCCGCCGAGAACAATGTCTGCAAATTGTTCACGTAGAACAACACACGCGAGTCGAACAACGCTGGCAGTTCATCGTGGAGCTCCGAGTTGAGGATCTCGTATGTTCTCTTCGCCTCTTCCAGCTGCTCACGGCCCTTCGTCACCTGGAAGCAGAGATTTATGGGTGTAGTAGCCCTCAGGGCATGGGAGTCGATTCTGCAGTGTTGGCTTAGTTGCTTTAGGATGCGACGTCATCTCGAAGGTCATAAGTTCGATCCCCGACTGAGCACCAATGGACTTTCTTTCTATGTGCGAGTTTAACATCCGCTCGAACTGTGAAGGAAAACATCGTGAGGAAACCTGCTTGCCTTAGTCAGAAAGAGCCGACGTCGTGTGTCAGGCACAAGGGGCTAATCACTTACGACAAGTAATTATTAGATTGACAACTGATTCATTACAAAAAGTGATGTTCCTCAACCTAACTTTTGTACCTTAATTTTTGTAGGTCGGGGGGGGTCGGTGTTGGTCTTAGTGGGGCATAATCTATGTCAGGGAATATGCTCCTATAAAAAGCTAAGCATACCGAAGCGCACGCCTAGGCAATGGAGCTAGGCTATCAGGCGCGCACCGAAAGTTCTTCATACACGTCCACGCCATCTCTGTACTATCGCAGTGGTACATAGATGGGCCCACACTAGTTCTACCTTGTGGGCCGTCTCCTCCGGGCAATGCTGTGATCTGCTACGAGCTCCATTCGCAAATACCTCGAGATCGCAGTAGCAAAGTATGAAGAACGAAGGCGAGTCTTCGGCGCCTTAACCGAACCAACTGACTAAGGGAAGACAACCCTGACAGAAAATCACAAAAAAAAAAATGGAAGCAAAACCTAAAAACAGTATACCCCAGGAGGGTACCGGTGTAGCCGGAGAATCCCTCTCTGAGCCTTGCTCAGGCTGTCCCACGTATTCTGGGGGGGACAAAGTTTTGCTAAACAAAGATACACTCGCAGAAGAAACCTGTAAGAGGGTGGGAACCCAGGCCCCCTTACCAGTTAATGCTACTGGTCCTAATGTGAAGGATAAAAAGCTAGTTCAGCAAGCCTTTCATCCTAGCCTATTTCTGGCTCGACCAAGAAGCTCATCTCTAAGTTCAGTAGCAGATGTTAACATCCAAAGCCCGACAGCTCTATTGAATAGAGTGCAGACAAATTCTAAAGACATTTACATAGACAAACAGAATCCTCCTAACTGGCAGAGAGCACCGACACTAAGGAACGCCAAAAGGAAAAAAGTTTCCTCACCATCTCCAGATAGGATACCAGTTTCCAATCAATTCAGCGCCCTTCCAGTAGATCAGGAAGCAAATAATGATGTAGAACAAACTAAAAAGATATCTAAACCTCCGCCTATAATCCTATATGGTATTGAAGACCTAGCCAAACTTACCGAACTCCTGGAGTGTGCCGTAAACAAAACCGACTTCGTCTACAAAATAATAAACCAAAACCAGCTGCGCATAAATTGCGCCAACGTGGAGGTTTACAAAAACATAATAGACCTTATCCGTGAAAAAAGACTGATCGGACATACATTTAACAGGAAAGACAAAAAACCGTATAGAGTGGTTATCAAAAACCTACATTATTCAACTCCTATCCTTAAAATAAAAGAAGCACTGGAAGACACGGGAAACGTAGTGATAGGAGAAATAATAAATGCAAAGTATGGACCTGAAAAGAAACCTACATCTACATTTTTTGCAACCCTAGAACAAAGTCCGAGCAACAAAGAGATAAAAGGTATAAAGTACATAAACCACCAATCGGTCGTTATAGAGGAACCACGTAAAAGGAACTCCATAGTCCAATGCCAAAGATGTCAGCAATATGGTCACTCTAAAAATTACTGTATGAGGCCCTATCGCTGCGTGAAATGCGCGCAAGCACATAGAACAGCAGACTGTCCAAAGCCTGATCGAAGTACTCCAGCAAAATGCGCCTTGTGCCTCGGTGCCCATCCAGCGAACTTTAAAGGCTGTGAAGTATATGTAGAAATCCTATCGAGAAAATCTAAAAGGCAGTATACCCGCGCATCAAGGATAAATAATAATAATCCGGAACGACAACGCAGCTCTAAACAGATGGCACCTGAGATGAACACACTACCACAGTTAGAAAATAATAAACCTATTGGTGACAAAAACTCCCAGTCACTATCACAACCACAACACTTATCTAGGAACAAAGAAATACCTAACCACGGAAATTATCGATCAAGCTACGCCGATGTGATAGGATCTAACCAGAATACTTATAATACACCAAAACCTACAATTGAAGAAATGTTAGTCAAACAAGCTGAAAAGTTTGATCATATCTTACAACAAATGAGCACTTTAATCAATTTAATTACAACATTAGTCACGAAAATGTCCAAATGACTTCCCTAAAGATAGCTACCTGGAACCCAGATGGGCTATTGCCTAATCTAGAAGAAGTAGAAGTACTACTACACACACACAACATAGACATATTATTAGTGTCTGAATCTCACCTTACAGAAAATAACAGAGTCACATTACGTAATTTTAATATTTATGCTACAAACCATCCCGACGGAACTGCACATGCAGGAGCAGCTATAATTATAAGATCAAACATCAAACATTATGAACAACCACAGTTTCAGAAACCCTACATACAAGCTACAACGGTTGCAGTTATAGATAGAAACGGTACGTTTAATGTATCCGCCATCTATTGCCCCCCCAAGCACACTATAAAAGAAGAACATTTTGAAGAGCTTTTTATATCACTGGGGCAGCGATTCATAGCAGGAGGTGATTGGAATGCCAAGCATGTTCATTGGGCCTCTAGGCTAACGACAACAAGAGGCAGAGAGCTTAAGAAAAGTATAGATAACAACAATCTGACAGTGATTTCAACGACGGACCCGACCAACTGGCCGACTGACTCAAACAGGCTTCCGGACGTCATAGACTTTTTCGTCATGAAAGGCCTGTCTAGACTTTCTTACCAAATACAAACTTGTTTAGACTCGAGTACAAACCATGTTCCAGTTATATTGACTATTGGAATAACTGCCTTGAGCAAAGAACACAGCCTTAAATTGTACAATAAACGAACTGATTGGAACTCATATCGAGAACTGGTCCATGACAGACTAGACCTAAAAATTGCCTTAAAAAGTGAAGCAGACATTGATCACGCAACTCGCTTACTAACCGAAGTGATCCAAGAAAGCTGCTGGATGTCCACGCCCGAAATCACTGCTCGTCTGCCACAGAGTAAGACCTACTCGGACACCATACGACAAAAAATATTAGAAAAACGAAGGCTACGTCGAATATGGCACACTAGTAGACTGACATATGACAAAACGGCGCTTAATAAAGCGATACGTGACTTAAAATCCCTAATATCCGAAGCTAACGAAGCAGCCTTGAGTAAACACCTGGAAGGATTGACATCAACAAAAGCAACCGATTACTCGCTCTGGAGAGCCTGCAAAAACCTAGCTCGACCACTACACCAAAAGCCACCACTACGAACGCAGAACGGGCAGTGGATTAGAACGGAACGAGAAAAAGCTGAAGTTTTTGCCAATCATCTCAGTCATGTATTCAAACCGAATGACCCCAGGCCTAATGTAGATGAATCGGATATCGAACTAATCATTGACCAAGACCTGCAACTTGATCTACCATTAAAACTAGTGAGACCACGGGAAATTAATCGCAATATCAAATCTATGGACAATAATAAAGCGCCGGGCTATGACTTAATAGACAAAAAGGTCCTCGAAGAATCACCACGCAAAGTGATAGTGTACCTTACAATGCTGTTTAATGCAATCCTAAGAGCTGGGTACTACCCAGACTTATGGAAGGTATCACAAGTCACTATGATCCACAAACCTGGAAAACCGATTCACGAAATAACCTCATATAGACCCATTAGTCTGCTGCCTATAATGTCCAAATTATTTGAAAAATCGCTACTACACAGAATGCTGGACATAATAAAAGAAAAGCATATCATACCAGACCATCAGTTTGGCTTTAGGCAAGAACATGCAACAACAGAACAAGTCCACAGAGTATGTAGAAAAATAAGAAACTCCCTCGAGAGGAGAGAATACTGCTCATCTGCATTTCTAGACGTACAACAAGCCTTTGACAAAGTGTGGCATAAGGGTCTTTTGTTTAAAATAAAATCCTTATTGCCACACACATTCTATAGGATTCTACAATCGTACCTGTCTAACAGACTATTCCAAGTTAAAGAAGGTGCCAGCACATCCGGTTTTTACGAAATTTGCGCAGGTGTGCCACAGGGCTCAGTCCTCGGACCCGTCCTGTACACACTGTATACATACGACCTACCACAGAGCCCAGAGATTACTATCGCCACCTTCGCTGATGACACGGCTCTACTTACCTCCAACAGAAGTCCCATTCTAGCCTCTAAAATTCTACAAAATGGCTTAAATAAGGTAGAAGACTGGTTGGCCAAATGGAGAATTGCAGTTAGTGTGTCCAAATCGGTGCACGTCACTTTCACGCTCCGAAAGGAAGACTGCCCCCCTGTCACTCTAAATGGCACCCAATTACCACATCAAAACACAGTCAAATATTTAGGAATGCATTTAGACCGCAGACTCACCTGGAAAAAACATATTCAAACAAAGCGAGACGAAATTAACCACAAATACAAGGGTCTCTACTGGCTAATGGGACGAAACTCAAAACTATCCACTGACAATAAGTTGCTCTTGTACAAAACCATTCTCAAACCCATATGGACATACGGAATACAGCTTTGGGGATCTGCTAGTGCCTCAAATATAATAATAATACAAAGAGCTCAAAATTACATACTCAAGCAAATATCAAACACCCCATGGTTTCTCAAAACTACAGAAGTCCATGAATTTCTTAATATGCCCATGGTAAAAGAGGAAATAATCACACATGGGTATAACTACAAACTAAGACTTCAAAAGCACCCCAATCAGCTAGCAGGACAGCTAACTATACCAGAAACTACTCGACGACTAAAAAAGCGGCGAGACATTTTTGATCAGGACAACCCAACAGACTGAGTTTAAATAAGAATAGGCAGGCTCCGCTGGGCCGCCTAACACGTCAAAAAGCTCTCAACGTATCTACTTATAGTCGCAAAGACTGATTGTATGATTATTTAAAAAAAAAAAAAAAAATTTTTTTGTAGGATGTGATTTTCTAATATCTCTCATTTCAAGAAAACCATGGGATTTAGAAAGAATTTGTTACCTTGACGTCGTCTCTTCTCTTGGCAGCGTTGGACTGCAGGTTCTGGAAACTATGCCTCTGACCGTCATAGTCCACTAACTTGCGACCTCGCTTTTCTATTTTTTTCTGGAAAATAACGGTATCAATTAATACATTAAGTTACATATTTTTTTTATAACTAACAAAAAAAAACTGGGGCAAATGGGCATCTGATATTAAGGGATACCGCCGATAGACACTCACATTTCCAGAGGCCTCGCAAGGGCCTTTAAACTGATAAGTTTTGGGAAATTTTAAATGGCATTATAAAATAGCAAATGCTATCTTATAATCAATTATTAAGATTTCACATTTGTATTTGAAAAGTCCTGTCTTTAATTTTTTTTTCATTTTGCCTACTCAGGTTTTCTTAGTTTTATAAGAGTGACGATTTAGCTAAGAGTATAGCCAGACGAAGGCACTCTCTTCGACTGTTACATTGCAGTCATTCGGTACAGAGCAATTAACATTTCATTATTTCGCAAATATGCGAATATATATATATATATATATTCTATTGTTGTACGCGAGTGGTTAATATGGAGTAAAACTAAAATCTATTACTTAAAGCACCGATGACTCAGGAACCGTACATATGTGATTACATAAACTTAAAAAACTCACCCTGACTTCAGGAAACTGGTTGGAGTATGTGTTGAGCGGTATCAGCACTTGATCTCCGAGCTTGTGCGAGAAGTCCTGCCACAGCATCTCCATGTTCTGGGCTTGGACGTACAGCAGGTCGTGGCCTGACCACCCGCTCTCGTACACCTCTGTGATTGCCTCCATTAGGGATTTGGACGCAGTTTGAACAGCTGGAATTGTGATATGCAATGACAAAATAAAACTATGTTGCTATAGTAAAACAATACAAAATATTAACAAAATAATTTAGATGTTGATTTGTACTTTTTTTAAAGAATTATTGGAATAGAACTTTTAGTTCTTATCGTATTAGGTATATAATATATTTCTAGGAAGCTCTGGATCGAACATAGAAGCTGTCCTTGTCAAAGGAGGTTACTCCTTTGACAAGGACATCATAAGTAACTCAAATTAACAACAAATATAAACATTCTTGATATCTTATGTAATTTTAAGTCCGTATAGAATCTCTTGAGCTGTGAGCAGTGTTGGCCTAGTGGCTTCAGCGTGCGACTCTCATACCTGAGGTCGTAGCTTCGATCCCCGGCTGTGCACCAATGGACTTTCTTTCTATGTGCGCATTTAACATTTGCTCGAACGGTAAAGGAAAACATCGTGAGGAAACCGACATGTCTTAGACCCAAAAAGTCGATGGCGTGTGTCAGGCACTGGAAGCTGATTACCTACTTGCCTATTAGATTTAAAAATGATCATGAAACAGATTCAGAAATCTGAGGCCAAGACCTTAAATGTTGTAGCGCCACTGATTTTATAGAATCTCTTACCACGTATACATCTTATATAATTGTTGAATTCCTTTTGAAGCCGAACTGCCTGCTGGTGCTGCCTGTTGAAATTCTGAAGGTGTTCTTCGAATATGTCATCGAGGGTCCTGTCTACTTTGCCCAAGTTTTGCAATAACTGTAACAAACGTATATGGGTTATAGGACAAAGTCAAATAAGTCATAAAGACGTTGACTGACGGACTTTATTTAATAATAGGTATTTATATAACAATATATTTGAGTGAACCTCATTACAAATCTTTGCATATTTGTTATTCAAGAACAATTAACCCAGCCGCTATAAAGGTGACAATAAAAACAATACAAGGTCAATGACACATTGAATCAGCATGTTTTTAGTATTCGTAACGTTATCGCGTGTCATATCAAATTATGGCGAACACTTGTCGTATCGGGCTACCGATTATATATCTTGCATTATGATAAAAGGTTTTGTATGCCTTTTTTACATAGAACAACAAACGGACAGGAGGCTCATCTGATGTTAAGTGATACCGCCGCCCATTGATTGTCATTGCCAGAGGGCTGTTGCGTTGTCGGCCTTTTAAAGAATTGGTAAGCTTTTTTTTTTGAAGGACCCCAAATTCGCATTGGTGCCATTGAGTAAAACCGGAGAGCTCGCGATATTTTATCAAAATGCGGCTGTTAGCTGTTTAGCGTGTTCTGCTCAATCGTGAGGTCACAGGTACGAGACCTAGTCCATTAATTTTTTTCTATGCGCCCTAACACTTGCACTTAACAGTCACCGGTTCGGATACGACAGCTAAGGATTGCAATAGCTACTAGATTTTTGCTTTTTAGAAAATTCTACGTAGACGCATCATTTAAAATAAGTTTCTTTTCTTTCTAAAATTCTTTCACACACATTTAATTCCCACACCCTTACACATATTCACACACACAACCACGCATTTTTGTTCTGTTTGTTACTTTAGTTTAGTCATTGCATGTAGTGATGTTCTTGTATATTATCTGGCTGAAGGCTGGTGACCTGTTACCACAGCACCTTAGACCTATTATAGGCACAAGCCTCTCACAAAGATGGTCTTATCTGCAGAAATTAAACAGCACACACACATTACACACTTAAAATGTACCCTATTCCTTTTTTCCATAATTTTTTGTTATTTTTCTTTTTGAATATTATTATTTTGTGTGTGTGTTTCGTTACTAATAAATGTTATGTTATGTTATTTCTTGAACAAATGTATCTGTTTCCGTTTTGCGTACAGTAAAACACTAGTCAAACTACTGGATGCCGTATAGTTATTAATAAACAACTTCTGGGAATTTTACTGAACGACATCTGAATGTACAATGATTAGGACATCAAAGAGTTCCTACAAATGCAAATACAGGCTACCTTGTATGGAACTAAAGCCTTTAATCCGTTGTCTATGGTAATGCAGTCAACGACCGACCATTTGACTTTCAAGTTAATGTAACACGCGATTCATACGATCTAATACTTTGAAGGGATTTCATAATACGAATCTGATATTTTGCTCATTTCAGTGTAATTAGTACATTAGCCCCTTAGTTCAAATTAATAATTCTTTAGTCGCGTGACGCCGCCTTAAGGACCAATCTGGTCGCTAAACTCCAAAAAAGTACATTGTTTCTTTCCATTTTTCGTCATCATTTCTTTAAGTAGGGCGAAAGGAAAAAACATTTTGAAAGATCGGTACACGATTTAAATAACTTCGCTTGATAGAAAAAAAATCCAAACATTGCAAATTTTTGACATTTTATGACGAAAATGTATATAGAACATAATTTTGAAATTTACGATCTATTTTATCGCAAGCCAAGTAATCTATTTCGGAAATAATTGATAAAATTACATTAATTTACATAACTCATTGTTACGGGCCGGCGCGCCTCAGTGCTCCAGCTCTCCACTGCGCCCCGCAGTCCACCCCGAGACACTGACACAGCAATTCGTTCTGGGATAGGGCCTTAATAATATTGATACAATTATTTTGTATCAACACTGGCCTATTTCGTAAATTGTATTTAGATTCATGTTTAGGCTCACACGACTTTGACCTCTTGCCTTTTTTCTTCTACACCAGCGTTTCTAAACCTTCATGCCCTACCTTAGCCTTTCTAAAAGCCCCACCCCCCTCTCCCCTATGTACCTTACATAATTTTTAATATTAAAAACTTTAACTGTTCATTTAAGAAACATAAATAATAGATAGGATTGAGGAATTAATAGAAAATTCTTAACGAAACACTACAGTTAATTTTCGAAACATAATGAAAAACTGAAATTTCAAATATTTTTAATCAATTATCGAATAGCCCATCTTAACAATAAAATTCCTGTGGGGCGTGGGCACCACATTGGGTAACACTATTCTAGTCTCTAGACCTCATATACGTATCGAGTATGTTTGTCCATACATTACCCGCTAATTATATGCAAAACACTAACAACCCACAATCAAGTGTAACAGGCGTATCGTTGCGTGACGTCACATCCGTTACGTTCGTTTTCGATTTCGATTGTCTTTGACCGAGGCCTCCGATTACGGTATTGTCTCTGTCAGGTTGTAATTACACTTTTTCCTTAATCAGCTGATGAACTTACGTCAAGTAATGTAATGGCTTACAAAATTGCGTGAATTTTTATTTTACAAAATATCTAGAGGAAACCCCTTCTATCTTACATCCATTTTCTAAATGATGCCTAAGTCTTGTATGCCTGACGTGTTTACGGTTGTCTTTGACGGTTTTCTAATGATGTTTCCTTAATCGTATCGTCGATCAAGTATTAATTGAGCACAGAGATAGGAAAATCCATTGGTACAACGCCGGAATTAGAACGCACGTCAAGCAAAGATTGAGTCGTGCGCATAAGGTTTACACTTTTATAGGCAAAAACCTTTGAAAAATCCCAGGTTTCCAACGCACTTGAACTCCAAACTTTGTTTGACGACTAACTGTCGCACATAACTGCCATTTTATGCGCGCTAATCTTTAATAACAACAGTATGTCTTTGATACCTCGTAACTTGTAATTTGATTAGAATCTATCCATAATCTGTTTGTACACTTAAGACATATCAGTCAAGTGAGTTATCTTGAGTTCAATCATTTATTAACAATTTCCTATGACCGAAAAAGGTTAACCCGTGACCTTGAGTTGACCTTAACATACGTACTTTAAAACTCAGATATTTGTCCTCATTAATCATCTTACATTGTAAGCAAATGTTGTGAATGCACATTCTTTAGCGAATTCAATCTAGTAGGTACATGCATGAATAGAAGAAAAAATCTGTGGCGCTACAACATTTTTATCTCTGGGCTTAAAATTTCTGTTTCTGTATCATGATCATTTGTCAATCAAAGGCAAGTAGGTGATTAGCCTCTTGTGCCTGACACACGCCGTCAACTTTTTGGGTCTAAGGCAATCCGGTTTCCTCACAATGTTTTCCTTCACCGTTCGAGCGAATGTTAAATGCGCACATAGAAAGAAAGTCCATTGGTCCACAGCCGGGAATCGAACCTACGATCTCAGGGATGAGAGTCGCAAGAACGAGTTTCTATTTTAAACAGACGTATTGGCGTTGTATCACCACATTTTAAGACATTATTTGTAAAGATATGATGTCATACCATATATGTAATTAACCATTGATATTTAAGTACAATTATATATGTCAATTACACGAGGATAGCGATACCTAGACCTATGTTTATTTAAAACCGTCCTAAAACCCCCCTAACTTTCACATCGTCACACAGCCGAATCAGGTATTACTTAGTCAAATGTGATTAATATTTTTAATTGCTTTTTCCTTTCGTAAATATTTGAACCTTGTTGTATATATTATGTATTCAATCTTTAGCTATATATTTAGTATAATTGTTTTGTGCTATATATAATTTATATTAACTGTACGAAACATACGAAATAAATAAATATAGTACAAGGGAAACGAACAGATTAGGTAATAAAGGACGTTGTTATTGGCTATTGTAATTAATAGCTCACTTCCGAATACAACAAAATCAATTATTCAATTAATTATGAAAAAAAAATGACTGTGAAATACTTCTCGAGTTACACAAGTTACCGACAAATAATCGGTAATATTCTAACTTATAAAAATTAAACCAATGTATTTTTAACTTTACGTCATCTCTTTTCATTTCAGCGTAAACACAATTTCACAGAAAGAGACAAAAGAAATTTTTTTGTGAATAAGGTGCAATTGGGTTTAGTTTTTATACATAATTAATATGTTTTGTCACTGGATGTATTTGTTTAGATTACTACGACTTGTTGCCTTGACAACCCAGATCACCTATCTCAAGTTAAATCGTCTGTTAAATGTTATGTCGATCTGTTGATACAAATAAAAATAACTTTTCTCATATCGAATTTGACCCTAGTATTGAGTGATTACACATTTTTAATAAAACAAAGGACTCCTACAAAAGTTAAATACAAAATACATAATGTATTAAGTAAATAGTCACACATACCCTCTCGTATTACAAGTGTGGTTCCGACAGACGTTGTCCTGCATGATATTTCAAGCGATTAGGATATTAAACAAAACACTCAATGTACCAAATGCAGCGCCATCTGCCGGGCTGATTTTTAAATCTAAACCATCTAGGGCTCCACCCAAACGCATACAAAAAAATCCATTAAATCGGACTAGCCGTTTAAGAGGAGTTTAGTGACATACACACGTATAGTAAAATTATATATATATGTATACATATATGTATGCTCTCCTATCTTTTAAGTTAGATCAAACTGCACACGGTGTGCAAATTTGATTTAAATCCTTTAAGTAGCTTAGGAGTCCATAGCGTACAAACAACGTGCCACGTTATTTATATATATTTAAGATAAATATATAAAAAACACCGTACATCTATACAACGGTAGGTAGGTATCCACTTGACGATTGTCAACCATATCGTGATACAGCGTATCCGTCAGCGATAATACGCCGAAACAAATACCAACAAATTCTTATAAATTACTCTGTATTTCTACACGTGTAAATCTATTTGTGTATCATGCAATAGATTTTAAACGCCTCTGATCTTTAGAATTTATGCCGTCCTTTATAGCTTCCTTAAACAGACAACAATAGTTATATCTTGCAAAGGCTATTTCCAATCAACTAAACACGATTGGAGAAAGTGAATCTCAACACAAATAATCAAAGTCAAGTGCATTTTCTGGCACGCAACGGAATCAATTACTTGCTTCATTTGTTTTCAGCTATTAAATCTTCATCAAGACGCGAAATAAAAATGACATGTTTTATCACAAAGCAATTATTTAAAGATGAGCAGTGTTGGCCTACTGGCTTCAGCGTGCGACTGTCATACCTGAGGTCGTAGTTTCGATCCCCGGCTGTGCACCAATAGACTTTCTAAGTGCGCGTTTAACATTTGCTCGAACGGTGAAGGAAAACATCGTGAGGAAACCGACATGTCTTAGACCCAAAAAGTCGACGGCGCGTGACAGGCACCGGAGGCTTATCACCTACTTGCCTATTAGATTTAAAAATGATCATGAAACAGATCCAGAAATCTGAGGCTGTAGCGCCACTAATTTTTTTTTTAAATTATTTAAAGATAACATTATTCTGTATTGTTTAATTTATTGTATTATTTAATCAGATAAAAATTTATAATAGTGTAGAAACATAAACAGGATACAGTTTTTCTGTCAATTAGGATGTCGAACAAATTTAAATCGTATATATATACAAACACCAATATATAGAACATAAAATTATAATTATTATATTGCTTATAAAACCGCACAACCACATTTAAACATCGACGCACAGCGTTCAATAAATAGGACTAATATTCATGATAATAAAATATAATAAATCACTGATTAGTTTATAAAACGTTTTTTTTTTGTATCGGTACACCGTACAGTTCTTTGGCACAATATCCCATACCTCCATTATCTATATAGGTCTCCAAAGGAAGAGTTATTACAACGTAACCAAAATTTTAGTATTGTTCACGTTAAATTGTAACCGTCTACTTTCGTGTTTTCTAACCTTGGTTCTATATAGTTGTGTTATCTGTTAAACCCAGCAAAATTACAAGTAAATTGCCTACAGCAAAACGACAAATAAATGATTCTTAGCGTTTTTTGAAGTCGTTAAAATTATGTACTATAAGAAATCAAGAGTTTTATAATACTGATGCGCGATCTGTACGATGGCAACAACAAACAAGCCCAAACGGCACTCCCAGAACAGAGCACTGGCTAAATATAGAAACGATAATATTGTTTGATATGCGCAACATACATCCTATTGGACTTTCATTGCTGTTTTATTCTAAAACGACAAAGTATGTGATAGAGTGACATTTACTCCCAAAAATCCCCGCGACAAGAATTTTCATGTATATGTCTCCTTAAATAGGAGTCTCATATAACCGCGAAACAAAAATGTGTCCGTAGCGGAATCTACATAAATAAAAATGAATCGCAAAATATGTTGTTAAGCTCAAATCTCGAAGACGGTTGGACCAATTCGAGAATTTTTAATTTATATCCTGAACTTTGACGAAGGTTTTGATGTAGAGAAGAATCGGAAGTTCGGGGGGCAGCTACTTATAAATAATTCCTGCAACCAGTTTTGAAGACCAATTTTCTTTTTCAGTTCACTAATCACTCTGTCCTATTATAGTCTATAGATACAGAGATAAAACCCTCTGATGAGAGAATGAGTGATCCAAGAAAAATTCAATTATTTTACCCTTTACTTATTATTATTAATTAAAATATTACTTAATTAAAACCGAATCTTTGCGTCTTCCACCAAGTCCGTGACGAATGTGCCACAACACAATTAATGTAGCATTTGAACGGACAATAAAGTTTTATGTAGTTCATTGTTCATGGGCTATAAAGCTATCTTATCGGAACAAATTACTAATTACCTAAACCAACTAAGTACTTAACACAGTATCGGGAAAAACTCTAAGTACATTTTCCGAATGTCTGTATTAATCTGTTATGTCAGTCAAAGAGCAGTGTTTCCCAACGTCTTTTGTGCCATGCCCCACCTTAGCCTTCCTAAAATTCTAATGTCTAATACATAATTTAAAATATTAAAATATGAATTGTTCACTGAAGAAACTAAATCATAGGTTCTAGGAAGAAATTACTAGAAATTTTAACGAAACATTCAGTAAATTGTCAAAACATTTAAATGTAAAACCGAAATTCTAATTACAAATAATTTTAATAAGCATTTTTCTATATAATTTTGGTTGATACTTGCTGCACAGAGATTTTCTATTAGGTTCCAATTTGGTTAGCTTAAGTCTCAAGTCTCCACGTTGTGTTATATCCAGTCGATTTCTATTGCCTTCTTTAACAATCAAATTGCCCCCCATTTTCATTCTATTCTACGCGCAATTATCACTTGCTCTAACGGTGAAGGTAAAAATTATCAACGATACGGATAGAGCCATTATTATTATTTTTTTATGTTACAGGAGGCAGGAGGCTCAACTGATGTTAAGTGATACCGCCGCCCATGGACACTCGCACTGCCAGCAGGCTCGCAAGCGCGCCGCCGGGAAATACTTCAGTGGGCAACTGGTTCCACATAGTGGTGGTGCGCGGCAGAAATTGCCTTAAGAATCACTCAGTTGTGGAGCAACGGACGTCAAGGTGATACGGTGATTTAGTCAAAGTTAAAAAAAAGTTAAAATGTTATGAATACATTTTCACGATGGACCATTTACTGGTTTAAAAAATAACACAATTAAGAGATCAGCCGTGAACATCCTTGACCTTGGGCGTGCTATCAAGTTAGGAGCACAAACTGTGTCCACGACCGTGAAGGTCCGCGGAACAAGTAATTGATGCCGCCACGTACAACAATCATGTAATAAAAATTCCGCATATGGATACTGCGCACGAGTCATCTTTAAGCCTTTCTTCACCGTAACGTACACCCATATAGATACTGGTAATATATAAAATTCTCGTGTCACAATGTTCGATCCCATACTCTTCGGAAACGCCTCGACCGATTCTTACGAAATTTTTTATGCGTATTCAGTAAGTCTGAGAATAGGCTACTATCTATTTTTCAAACCCCTAAGTGTCGACGCCAAAAATTTTTTTATTTAGGTAATCGACAAAAAATTTTGTTTTTATTTTTTATGATACATACAAAAATACATACAACTCTTAATTAACCACCCTCTACGATCAACCGCTATTTTGTCGCCGGGTCAGCTAGTCATATAAATATTCCAACTATATGAATTTTATTTCGCAAAAAATGCTTACGATTAGATAATAAAAAATCGTAAAATTACATTTGATTTAAAAGTCCGATAAGCATAAAGTCAAAAGTTATACGTTACACAAGTATGCTTGTTTATAATGTATGTATGTATTAACTAAAATAAAAATTTCACACACTCATAAGAGCTAATAAACACATAAAATAAATCTTAGAAATTCACTCTAAACAAGTCCTGGAAACAATCACTCTGAATAGAATTTATTGACTATTCTTTTGCCATTTATACAAGTAAGTTCTCCGAGATAATATCTAGACATAATGCCCTTCTGATCTTTTGTTTAATATGCACATAATGACATCATTTCAAATGTATCGATGCATTAGCATCCTTATGATTTGTACAAAAACATGGGCGTCAAAGTTATTGGTATAAGCAATTATTATTGATACAACTATAAAGGTACAAATATAAAGGGGCAAGAACTTGATTAAAATTAACTACGTGTATAGATATTTTGACGTAATTTTAGTCACCACTAAAACACAGCACAGCAAAAAACTTCACGACGCGACGAAGTGTGTCTTAGATCCTCTTTGACCACGACTTTTAAAAAGGTTTTATTTAAGTGGACTACTTCCGTAAACCAAAGACAAAATTATGTTATTTCATTATTACTTAGTCCATTGAAATGTTACATTTGCTGAACATTTGTTAGAGGACGCAATTTTATTTATGGGACATGTAGGAGGGGTCAATACAAGCTTAAACTCTTTGGGGTTGGCACCCTTGTCCCCCGGCCGCCATCTTGGAAAAAGGGGTAAAAACACGTTTTTGGCTATATCTCCTAAATTATCCATCGTATAAAAAATGTGTAGTCATCAATTTGTATTACATAGGGAAAACCTCCACTTAGCGGTCTGTGGGTCCCAGCCAAATATAATCCGACGATTGAAACGCCTATTTACACCTCTATTATCCTTGAAAATTCTTCAAATAAGGCTGTATCACGTATAATGTTTTACAAATATATATGAGAATAGAAACAAACGTGTCCGGTGGATTTCATAACAAAGCAGTTATTTCTAGAATGTCGGATACAAGTGTGATGTTAACCGCGGATTGCGAAACGTAACCGAATACGATATATATTGTTTCGTGGGATTATGTCAACAGCTTTCTAATACATCGATTTAAACATATTTTAAACAAATAATTAGAATAGTACTTATAATAAAATAAGTAAACTAGTGGCGCTACAACCTTTTTAGGTCTGGGCCACAGATTTCTGTATCTGTTTCATGATCATTTTTCAATCTAAGAGGCAAGTAGGTGACAGCCTCCTGCGTCTAACACACGCCGTCGACTTTTTGGGTTTCTACCGGCCGGTTTTTTCAGGAAACCGACATGTCTTAGACCCAAAAAGGCGACGGCATGTGTCATGCACTGGAGGCTGATCACCTAAATCACCTGATCACTAGCCTATTAGATTTAAAAATGATCATGAAACAGATTCAGAAATCTGAGGAGGCAAAGACTTAAAGAGGTTGTAGCGCCACTGATTTATTTATTTAATTAAATGTTTGATCACTAAATTTAGCTTATAATTTGAATAAATACCTGTTGTTCCACGCTGTAAGTTCATTAAATGTTGTACATTTCGACATGAAAACTGACAGGCGGAATTTAGAAGCAATAAGATATACTATTTATTGTATTGAGAAACTTCTCCTAAGTTAAAGTCGGTAAGAGTATTTAAAATATACCTAGCAAGTTTACGAAAGTACCACCTTAGTAGACCGCGTTATGAAAATACCAGTTTTGACACGGTCATGTGCATCGAATAAATAACGTGGTGCCTGAACCTGTTAAAGCAACGGGAATTCGAATTGGCCATCTAATGGAAAAACCTGTTAGTGCTTATTAAATTTAAAAAGTTGTAATTCTTTGCATTCAGTACAAAAAACGCTAAACACGCTTAAATTTTTTGTACTACCAGCTTTTTTATTAACCTTATAACATCGCAATTTCATCACTATGTGTACCGTAATTGTAGAAGAAAATACCAATATAAAAACTGATTTCCTTGTAAGACTTATCCAGTTGTCAAAAATAATAAATAAAATCTATAATACACAGAAAAATTACAAACGTTGTATTCTGTTGGCAGTAGATTTGAGTTTTTCACCCGACTAGCCTGAAGGAGGAAAGAAATTTTAGAATGATGACAGTCATTCAGGATATGTAATACCGTGTCTTTAGGTGTATTGCTACAAGGACAGGAACGCGTAAGTATTTAGGTAAGTTCTAGTACCTCCGTCCGGGGACCGATTCGAATGATTGAAGCGTCAAATGCTTCGGGACAGTTGAATTCTAACTTAATAATTTCTATCTTAAAATTAAATTAGCTTTGAATTATCCAGATATGATATATAAATCAAGTAATAATAAAGGAGCAGTGTTGGCCTAGTGGCTTCTGCGTGCGACTCTTATCCGACTCTCAGGTCGTAGGTTCGATCCCCGGCTATGCACCAATGTACTTTCTATCTATGTGCGCATTTAACATTAGGTCAAACGGCGAAGGAAAACATCGTGAGGAAACCGACATGTCTTAGACCAAAAAAGTCGACGGCGTGTGTCAGGCACAGGAGGCTGATCACCTACTTGCCGTTGCTTGACAAATAATCATGAAACTGTAACATAAATCTGAGGTCCAGACCTAAAAAGGTTGTAGCGCTACTGATTTATTTTTATTAATATTACAAGACCAACACAAATATATTTATTTATTAAGTTACATTAAATTTAATATTTGTTAAATATATCAAATGCCTACCATTAAACATAAAATTCGGATTAAAAAGTGTAATAATTCAGGCCGCACTCGACTCGACTAAAGTTAACATTCTTACTTTAAAAATTCGAAAATAGAAAGTCTTAAAACACTTGTCTTGTTGCCATTTGTACACAGAACGGATGCTGGTACCATTGTTGAGCTGACAATACACACATCAATCAGCGAGTGACGATATTTGTGGTGTTTGCGATATTCAAAGGCTGTGGTTTACATTTGCATTGAATTATTAAGTCTTATTACATAATATACATGTTTCTATTAACTGAGCCAGTTTATACAAGCACTCTGTGCATGTAAGCGATGAAATTTTATACTCATTTAACTCACAGATAATGTTTAGGTGTTTGAATCTATGACATTTCATTTGCACAGACTATTATATTTTGACTTGAATAAACGAGCTGCACTTGAGGGCTATCTGCTATTATATTTAGGCAAATACTTATCTCATGATAATCGCAAACCTCGAGAAAGTAGGTCACAGGTCATGTTCCAATAATCCTATTACAAGATGCATTGCCTTGCAATTTGAGATACTAATATTAAACAATGTTTAAAGGCAATATTTTTCTTGGATTATATTATTTAATCTGAGGTTAAAATTGAACTAAGCAGTTGTCCTAGTGGCTTCAGAGCGCAACTCTCATCCCTGAGGTCGTAGGTTCAATCTTCCGCTGTGCAGCAACGGACATTCGCTGGGACGGTGAAGGAAAACATCGTGAGCAAAACCAGCTTGCCTTAGACCCAAAATTGACGGCGTATGTCACCTATTTGCCTATTAGATTGACAAATGATCACGGATACATGATCATTGATTTTATTAAAATTTAACTAGTAATACAAAATAGACGAAAGTTCCACAATGACATATTCTAACAAGTATCCTACTTCTTTTAGTTAACTGTCTAGCATTACGGTCTAATTTCTAAATAAAATATCAGCGCAATGTCTTAGAAAAAATGCACCAGCCTCTCGCGATTACGTGTTGGCGGACATCCAAGTCGAACAACGTCTGCGATTGGCGCATGAGCATATTTTTATATTAATAGTTTTTATCGATAATTTTAGAACATAAACGCTGTTATGTGTTTGATTTGTATACGACAAAACCTATGGTTATAGATAATTTATTTAATAAATGTATTATACATTCGCGATAGGACAAAGAATTTAATACATTTATTAAATGTTCGGTACATTGAACAGGATCAGGTGGGATCATCCTAAAATAGAATCACGAACTGAATGCTTAAAACGGACCATCTTGCTCTTGCTCTACTTGCCCGACCAGGCCTGGCTGAGGAGATTTCAATAAAAAAACATAAGGATCATATAGTCACTTAGATAAAAAAACGTTTTAAATTTATATATAATATCTCAGGTTACATTTATTAGCTAAAGGTGTTAAGAATTTTATAACGAAAATTCGAATTGAGTACAATATTTTTACAGTTAGATGTCATCTACACATATTGGCATAGTTCCCAGTTTTTAATAGAACTTTTGTTCAAAGCTTACTAAAGATTCTTGTTACATCGTGTATTTTTAAAAAAACACGCCTAAATTTTATATTTCCTTGTCAAGGAATGGCGGAATAGTATAATATAATATTCCGCGCAACTGTATTTATATATGTTGCAGCCAACTAGCTTAATAAGCCGTACAATTAACAGCCTAGCCTCCTAACTAAACACGGCCTGAAAGATATTCAGCCGTAGTATTTGTAACATTTAATAAACTGGCTGGCTAACTCTAAGGCCATTCGTACGATAGTGACCATGTGGCAGAAATAAAAAAGATGAAACATCTGACATAAGTAATAAAACTTCATCGATTCTTATCATTTGCCT